TAGATTATACTGCCAAAAAAAGAAAAAAAGGCTCAAACACGTGAGCTTGAAGTGGGCTTAATGACAGGCTCATGTCATTAGTTTTAGTGGGCTAAGTTCCTCCTAGCATATGAAGGCCCACACGAGTGAAGATGGAAGCCAAATCTTCATCGTCTAGGGTTGGTGAATGGACTGCTGAAGTTCTTTGACAATAAGTTGTTGTTGCTATCGAAGCTTCTGTAGAAGAAAACGTCGCCGACGACAGTTTTCCACAAAGTCGCCCCATCTTCCCCTCAATAACGACGCTGGTCGTGGGGATCCGTGGATTGCCCGAACCCGTCGGTGGACAGGGACAATAGTCATTATACCTCTGTTTAGTCGCGGGGGAAGGGGATGGAAAAATCTGCCGAAGTTGACGGGCGAGGATCGGGAGGCTTGTACCCGCCCCATTACCATGCCTGCTTATTTCTCGAAAACAAGAAATCAAATTAATTTTCCTTCTTTTTCCTAATAAATCGACACCCCCGATTGAAACAAGAAAAGGGCAAATCACGTATCCTTATTCCTGGTGGGCTATGAAATCTTTCCTGTTTGTTTGTTTTTCCCTTTACTAGTTGATAATGTGTAACCGAGTAATAAAGGATTAAATTTTATTTTTTTGTTTTATTTATTTTAATATTTTGTTAAAGTGAGGTAGAATTTCTAAAAGATTATTATGATTTTTTTAATTTTTTAATTGCAACATCACTCATTTAACAGTCAACTCGCAGAGTTGACTGCCACGTCAGCAGAACTAAATGAAGGCTAATGGAGAGTGACCAAACTTGAATTGTTGAACTAATTTGAGTGACTATGTATGAAATAAATTAATTTGAGTGACAAATGTGAACTTTTTAAGCAATTTCAGTAACCAAACTTACAATTTACCTTAATTTGGGGATATATATTTGTTTATGCTGTCTATGCCTCAAGGATGCTTTAATCTCTTGAGATAGAGATCTTTAGCATCCTAATGGGTGCCTTTTTAGGGTCAAATAATCTCTCCTAGCAAAGGTGTCTGATCCGATTGATTGAGCCTCAAAGATTCTTTAAGGATCTACAACTGACTTTGTCGGACTTTCAGGTGATGGAACTGTCTCATTTGTTTTTCATAAAATTTAGGGTAAATACAATATATTAGCCAAAACTATTATGAAGCGAGGAATTATAGCCACAACTATGGAAATTCAAATTATTAGCCATAACTATTGTTGCGGGTCAAGATATGGCTAACTGTCCGTTATTGTTATTGAATTTTTAATGGAGAAGGCCACATCATCGGCCACGGCAGCAGCCACGTCAGACTGCTTTTAATTTATAACTTTAAAATATAAAAGTTTAGTCATCATTACTAACGAAATTGTTAACAGAGAGTTAATTGTTGTCTAATAATTTGAATTTCCATAGTTGTGGCTATAATTCCCCGCTTCATAATAGTTGTGCCTAATATATTGTATTCACCCTAAAATTTATTATGGTATTACTATAAGATAGTGTCTTACTCATAATGTTTGGTTGTTACTTCTCGGAGAGATTCTCAATCGGTCATCAAGATGCTACATCGAGGAAGTCTTCCCATGCTAAAGTCAGAGTCATTCTAAGGGAAGTTCTTTCTCTCTTCTCAAACCCTCTGTCAATTTCGTGTCTTTGCTCCTCGGAGCTTTCACAGAGCTGCCCACCTCGTGGCAAAAAATGCTCTTTTATCGGGAGTCCGGTTGCATATGGGCTTCCGCTCTTTATTAATTCGGTTTTGTATATTTGTTGTTCAGCCATGTCCTTGGGGCTTATCTTGAATAAAAAAGGCCCAACTACTCGAAGCTTTAACGGGATGGCAACTAATTTGGATTTTATTCATGAATAATAATTTTACAGTATAACTTCAAAACATGTTAATAATTACATGTATACCGGCATTACATAAGTGAAAATTTAACATAATAAATTATTAAAACAAAAATAAATTAGTTAAAATTAATACAATTTCATGATAAATATTTTATATGTATGATAAATATAAAATATGTTGAGAAAAATTATTATTATTTTTATATAAAATACATATGCATCTAATTAATTGGACAGGTTCAGGTTGGATGGTTGAAAACCATGTCTATCCATCACCCATAATATTTGGATATGAGTTTTACCAATACCATTGAAAAGCTTTCGAGTAGGGATGACAATTAAACCCATGGCCGCGGGTACCCGACTGTCTCGACCCAATCAACGCGGCGAATTTCCGCATTGACTAGGTATGGGGCGGATATGGATAAAACCCGTAAAACATTTTATGGATATGGGACGAGTATAGTTTTAGCTTCCCCTACCCCATACCTATACCCTCCTCACCAAGACCATTTCTTCACATATAAAAAATACATAAATCAATTGTAACCTATCAATGATAGTGAGGTTAACTCAAGAAAATAAATAATAGAAATGCAATTGACACGCTAAAACACAACACCAAACTGTGACCAAGTGTAATCGCAGTCCGGAAATGCAGTAAAGTAGCAAGTTCTAATTATCAACCCGGGGTCTAGATCTACTGCCTACTCCGTGAATATCTATTATCTAGCCAACTAAGTCGATTGATTGTGGTTTTAACTAAAAGTAATAAGAAAGCAGTAAATGGTTCGGAATTCTAAAGCAAAGGAAGAGTCACTCGGGAATGAGTCCCCCTAGCTTCTTAGTTAGGTCACAGTTGTAATTACTTTTGGTTGCTTTACTTCTGATTATACTGCTGAAGATCCGACAGTAGCTTGGAATCTCTTAAGCTGACCAAGCCCTCTCAGTCAAACTACCCGGCAGACGACTAGTCTTCACCGGGATAGAACGCTGAGGCAATGAACACAGAACTCCACTACTGGAATTAGATTCGAGTACAAAGAAGTGAATTGATTAACTCTCGTATAATCGATTCACTACTACCGATTGAAGAAGCTCTAACAACCTAATCAGATTCTATCTATCTCAGGTTGCAGCAGAAATCAATAAAAAGTGATCAGACTTCAATTGACTCAATCAGAACACTTCAATCGATTATAATCAAGCAATATCACAATCCAAACGTAATTACAATCAATGTAGTCAAAAGCGAGTTTTTACGTAGAAACGGTTTGGTGATCTAGAAGCGTAAAATCATAAGTTTTTATGTTTTAAAGTGGAGTTTTTAACTACATAAGTTATAAAAACTGAGATTTTGCGTAGAAGCGTTGTAGTGACCTAGTAACGTAAAATCGTAAGATTTTACGTTTTAAAGCGCGATTTTGACTACATTGATTACAATCAAAATTCCTAACACATGGAACTAGGGTTCTTCATGCCCAAGTGAGAGAGGGTTATACTCCATATATATATATATAGGAAAACAGAATACAAAGCAGTCATACTCATAAAGATGGGAAGAATCTACTCTGGGATGTCAATCTTCACTCCAAGGATGATTTCCAAGCTTGATTGATGAAACCCAGCTCCAAAACCACTCTTAGGGGGTGTTCTTCGCACTTTCTCTCTCTAGGGCTCTGTTTTTGCTCCAAAAAGTCGATTCTCTCTCATTTGGTTCGAATTTGTGTTAAAACCCAGAAATTCCCGACCACACGGCCGTGTGGCTTTTTAGGCGTGCATGTGTGAGTGTGCAAAACGTCTCGTTTCACTTAAGTGGCTTCAGGTACGCTACACGGCCAAAACCACACGGCCGTGTGGATTTTAGGCGTGCCCTTGTGAGCTCCCTCGACTTTCCACACGGCCACAAGGGGTCCCCTACACGGCCAGTGTGGCTTGCCCGTGCAATTTAGTGCCACACGGCCAGGTCACACTGCCGTGTGGGTTTTTAGGCGTGCCCGTGTGGCTTTTCCAGCTTTTCGTCAAACGCCCCAACTTTGTCCAATCGACCCCAAACTCGTGCCCAAACTTTTTTCACGTACTAGGACCTGAAATATCACAAACAAGAACAACCTAGCGTGAAATCGGCCTAAAAAACGAGAGATGAGACTCAAACGGTACAGGAATGGTGGATAAAAACATGTGTATATATCAAGTCATCAGCAATTGAGTGGCCACACAAATCAAAACCTATTTCCTTTTCATCAACTTTCCCTTCACTCTTTCACTTTTTCCCTTGTGTTAACACGATTATGTTAGTTGTTACTTAATTGATGTATCAGACTCAAAGTCGAAGAATAATGATTGGAATTACATTGTACTCTGTCTTATGAATTAATGGATGTTTTAGAAAAAGATGTTTTGAACCGTATTAAATGTTAAGAATAATTGTCTCTTTATCAACTTCATGATATAGCAGGTGCGTTTGAAACTATAATTGAAAATTTACATGTAAAGTTTAGGTATTATAATATTTGATGTAAGAGGCGAGTATTACTCGTGGGTACCTGAAACCACTGAGTATGGATGGGGATGGGTTTGCAAAACCTTCCCTAGCATGGGTATGGGCGCCAGTATGAATTTGAATATTTGAAGGGTAAATACAATTTAATATCCAAACCTTTCATTTTAAACAATATAATAGCCAAACCTTTTCGAAAACAATCTAATATCCAAATCGTCAACTTTCCGTCCGTTTGACCGTTGGTTGACACTTCAAAAAAGCTTTGTTTAGGGGAAATTGTCACAATACAACTTTGTTTTCTTGTTTTGGCATTGCAGATGACTGAATATTTAGATATTCTATACCACCATGGTGGAGTCATGGACTTCTCGGTTTGGAACCACGATATGTTGGTGGTTTTTCATAGAAGATATCGGTGGATATTGATGAACCGTCGTACTTCGAACTTTTTTGAAGTGTCAACTAACGGTCAAACGAACGGAAAGTTGACGATTTGGATATTATATTGTTTTTGAAAAGGTTTGGTTATTATATTGTTTAAAATGAAAGGTTTGGATATTAAATTGTATTTACCCATATTTGAAAGCGGGGATGGGGATGATTTATGAAAACTCGCCCCATTACCATCCCTACTTTCGAGGTAAAGGTTTTACTCTGCAATTAAATCAGATTTGTGGGGATTATCCACTGATAGTCTGATATTACTGTTTTTGTCATTCCTAAATATGTGAAGGAAAAGATAACTTAAACCACATCCAGGAACTGGGTAAGGTAATGTATAGAGTCCCGGACAAAAATGAGTTCATATAATTGCGTCAACTTGCATATCATAAACAAACACACGGCTGAATCATCATGCTCTACAGTTTCAACTCAAGTTCGCACCTGTTAACCAAGTAGAGCAATCTAACGCCATAATAAATCCTAGTTCGGACACCTTTTGGAACACAACAAAGATCATTTCAAAACTCATATCCACCCCTGTTTATCTAAAAAATTTACACGTCTGATCTTGTATCCACCATGTACCAAATGTCCGATTCATCGCAACATGATCTGGATACACTTAAACAAACACACAGCTAAATCAGGAGGCTCTACAGCTTCATTTCAAGTGCATTATTTTGAGGGTCAACTGGTCAAGTATGTCTAAAAGCAAAAACTGAAATGACAAGATACTCACTACTTGAGAATCTGGTTGCAAAAGTCCTCCCAGTCCGCTTCTTTGATGAGAGGATCACAGGGTCTTCATAATCTGGGTTCGTCCCATTGGGCTTTTTGTATATGCGAGTGAGATCTAGATACTCTCATATCTTATCCAGCAACTCATCAAGGTTCCATTCCAGTGGAGCACTGTCCAGCACAACAAGCAAGAGAGAAAACACCACCAGATTACTTATTTGTGAAATACAACTGTGAAATGGCAGACCCTCAGAGGATGAAAGCAAACAAATTCCAATACACAACTTCAGACATATATCCATAATATTTGCACTCAAATTCCAATCGAAAATATAAGGAAAGACTAAGACTAGATCAATTGAACTGTGATCAAAGTCATACCTTCTTCCTAACACAAGCTTCCTTTGAAAGCTGATAACTATCCCATTCAGATGACTGAAGTCCAAAATGGGTAACCAAAAGCATTGCTTCTTCTTGACAAGAGCAGAATGCTAGAGTTCCATTCAATGGCTTTGGCGCAAAAAGGTAGTTGTTACTAAACAAGCGAGCTAAGTTAATTCCTATCTCCAAACAATAACCACAAATAGCTTTCAAACATGGATCATCATCTACTCCCATGCTTAGTGTAGACCGAAACATACAAGGAGCTCATTTATGCAGCAAACAGAGAAAACCAGCAATATGCAGAGCCCTTAAATAAAGTTCTTCCTGACATACCAGGAAGTAGGGAAACACATATGTAAGCAGTGGCAAGGATCATGCCTCGGAGATTTAGTTCCAGCCACTTTTCTATCATCAGAATCTTCTCGAAACCGAGGGATATCGATCAGCTACAGGATCATGCACCTGGAATTTGGATGGGAATTTCAGCAAGTTCCTTGAGTTGCAGCAGCTGATAGATCAGTAGACCCTATTTTATGAGTTTTAATATCAGGACCATTCAACAGCTTCTGGAAAATTGGGTGATCCAACTGATTCTTGGGCAACAATTCTATTAGCAAAGACATCGTGGTTGCATCGGCTGAGAAACCTTTAGAAACCATCTCATGAATGAGGCCTATTGCTTCAAGGGGATCCTTATGGCGAAGAAACCCATGAATAATCACGTTGTAAGAGCAACTATCTGGTAGACAACTATCCCCCTCCATTTTCCTGAACAGATCATATGCTTCATCGACAAAACCTTGTCTGCATAGTCCATCAACTGTAATGGTATATGTGCGGGTATCAGGTTGCAAAAACTTGTCTCTAGAGAGCCTAGAAAACATTTCCCTAGCTTCCTTTTCCTTCCCTGCTTTCCACAGCCCGTCCATAAGGATACTGTACCCTGTAATATCAGACTTCAACCTACTATTTTCTATTACTTGAAATAGAGCTAATGCACCGTCAAGTTGACCTTGTCTACACAAGTAATCAAGCAAGCTATTGTATGTCACGTTATCCGGGGAACAACCCTGACCACTCATTTTCTTGAGAATTTTTTGTGCATCTTTAAGCCTCCCTGCTTGACAAAATCCATTTAGCATAGTAGTATAAGTGACTGTATTCGGAGCCAAATCCTTCTCCAGCATATCATTAAGTAATTCTTCAGCTTCATCCATCCTTCCATTATTACAATATCCACGAATCATGATACTATAACAGTAAACGTTAGGTTCACATCTCTTATTGACCACGAAATCAAATAACTTTCTAGCTTTGTCTAATTCATTGCGCAAACAGTACCCATCCAGCAATGAATTGTATGTGATGACATTCGGAAGAAATCCTCTTTGAATCATCACTTTGAGTATAACTTTAGCTCCCAAAACATTTCCTTCCTTGCAAAAAGCATCAACCAATGTGGAATAGCTAACTGTATCGGGCTTGATCTTCCTCTCTTCCATTTCATTGAGTAACTTCATAGCTTCATTGATTCTGCTTGAAATGCACAAACCAGCAATCAAGCTATTGTAACTGAACACATCTGGTTGAATCTTTTCATCCTTCATCTTGGAAAAAACATCAAAAGCCTACGATACCATCCCATCCTTACATAGGCTGCTAATGACTGTGTTATAACTAACGACATTAGGTTGACAGCCAAACTCCTTCATGTTTTTTAGCAATTCAAGTCCTGCACTCGTTTGCCCTACCTTGCATAATCCATCTATAATTATGGTATAAGAAATAACATTCGGATGATAACCCAGAATCTGAATCCTATGAACCAACCTTGCAGCCTCGATTACTTTCCCAACTTTACAGAGCCCATCAATCAATGTACTGAGCATTACATCATTGAATTGAACACCAAGTTTCAAAGCTTTGCTCAAAACTGAGTAGCCAAAATCCACTCGACCCAATTTACAGAAGCAACGAAGCAACATGCTCAGCGTGTGAAGATCATGGTGGAATCCAGCTACTTCCATTTGTTTAGACGCATACAAGGCAGCCTCGAAGGCGTTCATTCTCATAAGAGAATTTACCAACTGAGAAAATTTCACAATTGAGGGTCTAGGGTTCATGCGGAGCATCCTATTAAATGAATCCAAGGCATCATCTATGCTGGCGAAAGTTACAGAATTGGAGGTCCGAGGACTAGTTGGATTGGAGGAGAAGTAGGTCGAGAGAGGAGCTGTGGCAGAAGCTGGACAATAAGCATAAGGGAATTCAGTAATACCTGCTTGTCTTCTCCAATGATACCGATAGCAGATTCGATGGATGATCCTAGCCATGCCGAGCTGCTGAACTGCGTTAAATTGAAAGCCTTGGCAATGAGAGACCCGGACACTGCTGACAGTCATCAATAGATACTACCAGCTCTTCGCCCGCCCTTCCTCGGAATGAATCAATTCTATTCCAATACCAATGACAAGCTCTATCATCCAAACCAATTTCCCCCGCGAACCCAACACCTAAAAGAATATATCTGTGTCGCCAGCGGCCGCGAGGAGATCATGAAAAGGAATAAGCATAAGTTAACTGGAGTGAAGCACTCAGGCCTCAGCCGACGGTTCGGTGGCGTGCTGGATTGGCAGAGTGGCTGGACTGAAATTGAATTCCCAAGCTCGATCTCTGCTTTGGGCCCGGGTTCCTTGGTCCTCCATGGCATCACAACGGCACAGACAAAGTACACAACCAATTAACAAGGGTAAATTGCAAGTTTGGTCACTGAAATTTTGGTTAATACCTTATTTTTATCCGAACTATAATCAATTTTGTTCCATGGTTTCAGAAATTAACATCATGTGCTCAACTATGCAGCATATCGACTCAATTGGCCTGACACATGGTTTGACCGTCAATTTGGACGGTCAACAAGCCATGTCATTACCTCGTCAGCCTAAAAATATTTAAAAAATTCAAATTCAAATTATTTTAATAATTTCTATTATTTATCTTTTTTAAATTATTCAAAAAATTACATTTAAATTAATACATAAGTGAAAATTTAACATAATAAATTATTAAAATAAAAATAAATTAGTTAAAATTAATACAATTTCGTGATAAATATTTTATATGTATGATAAATATAAAATATCTTGAGAAAAATTATTATTTTTATATAAAATACATATGCATCTAATTAATTGGACAAGTTCAGGTTGGATGGTTGAAAACCATGTCTATCCATCACCCATAATATTTGGATCTGAGTTTTACCAATACCCATTGAAAAGCTTTCGAGTAGGGATGACAATTAAACCCATGGCCGCGGGTACCCGACCGTCCCGACCCAATCAACGCGGCGAATTTCCGCATTGACTAGGTATGGGGCGAATATGGATAAACCCCGCAAAACATTTGATGGATATGGGGCGGGTATAGTTTTAGCTTCCCCTGCCCCATAGCCATACCCTCCCCACCAAGACCATTTCTTCACATATAAAAAATACATAAATCAATTGTAACCTATCAATGATAGTGAGGTTAACTCAAGAAAATAAATAATAGAAACGCAATTGACACGCTAAAATACAACACCAAATTTCGACCAAGTGTAATCGCAGTCCGGACAGTAAAGTAGCAAGTTCTAATTATCAACCCGGGGTCTAGATCTACTGCCTACTCCGTGAATATCTATTATCTAGCCAACTAAGTCGATTGATTGTGGTTTTAACTAAAAGCAGTAAGAAAGTAGTAAATGGTTCGGTTTTCTAAAGCAAAGGAAGAGTCACTCGGGAATGAGTCCCCCTAGCTCCTTAGTTAGGTCACAGTTGTAATTACTTTTAGTTGCTTTACTGCTAATTATACTGCGGAAGATCCGACAGTAGCTTGGAATCTCTTAAGCTGACCAAGCCCTCACAGTCAAACTACCCGGCAGACGACTAGTCTTCACCGGGATAGAACGCTGAGGCAATGAACACAGAACTCCACTACTGGAATTAGATTCCATTACAAAGAAGTGAATTGATTAACTCTCGTATAATCGATTCACTACTACCGATTGAAGAAGCTCTAACAACCTAATAAGATTCTATCTATCTCAGGTTGCAGCAGAAATCAATAAAAGGTGATCAGAATTCAATTGATTCAATCAAAACACTTCAATCGATTATAATCAAGCAATATCACAATCCAAACGTAATTACAATCAAGATTCCTAACACATGGAACTAGGGTTCTTCATATCCAAATGAGAGAGGGTTCTACTCCATAGAGAGAGAGAGGAAAACAGAATACAAAGCAGTCATACTCATAAAGATGGGAAGAATCTGCTCAGGGATGTCAATCTTCACTCCAAGCTTGATTGATGAAACCCAGCTCCAAAACCACTCTTAGGGGGTGTTCTTTGCACTTTCTCTCTCTAGAGCTCTGTTTTTGCTCCAAAAAGTCGATTCTCTCTCTTTTGGCTCGAATTTGGGTTAAAACCCAGAAATTCCCGACCACATGGACAGATCACACGGCCGTGTGGATTTTTAGGTGTGCACGTGTAAGTGTGCAAAACGTCGCGTTTCACTTAATTGGCTTCAGGTACGCTACACGGCCAAAACCACACGGCCGTGTGGATTTTAGGCGTGCTCGTGTGAGCTCCCTGGACTTTCCACACGGCCACAAGGGGTCCCCTACACGGCCAGTGTGGCTTGCCCGTGCAATTTAGTGCCACACGGCCAGGTCACACGACCGTGTGGGTTTTTAGGCGTGCCCATGTGGCTTTTCCAGCTTTTCGTCAAACGCCCCAACTTCGTCCAATCGACCCCGAACTCGTGCCCAAACCTTCTTTCACGTAGTAGGACCTGAAATATCACAAACAAGAACAACCTAGCATGAAATCGGTCTAAAACACGAGAGATGAGACTCAAACGGTACAGGAATGGTGGATAAAAACATGTGTATATATCAAGTCATCAGCAATTGAGTGGCCACGCAAATCAAAACCTATTTCCTTTTCATCAACTTTCCCTTCACTCTTTCACTTTTTCCCTTGTGTTCACACGATTATGTTAGTTGTTATTTAATAGATGTATCAGACTCAAAGTCGAAGAATAATGATTGGAATTACATTGTACTCTATCTTATGAATTAATGGATGTTTTAGGAAAAGATATTTTGAACCGTATTAACTGTTAAGAACGACTGTCTCTTTATCAACTTCATGATATAGCAGGTGCGTTGGAAACTATAATTGAAAATTTACATGTAAAGTTTAGGTATTATAATGTTTGATGTAAGAGGCGAGTATTACTCATGGGTACCCGAAACCACTAAGTATGGGGATGGGTTTGCAAAAGCTTCCCTTGCATGGGTATGGACGCCAGTATGAGTTTGTATATTTAAAAGCGGGGATAAGGATGATTTATGAAAACCCGCCCCATTGGCCATTACCATCCCTACTTTCGAGGTAAAGGTTTTACTCTGTACAATTAAATCAGATTTGTGGGGATTATCCACTGATAGTCTGATATTACTGTTTTTGTCATTCCTAAATATGTGAAGGAAAAGAAAACTTAAACCACATCCAGGAACTGGGTAAGGTAATGTATAGAGTCCCGGACAAAAATGAGTTCATATAATTGCGTCAACTTGCATATCATAAACAAACACACGGCTGAATCATCATGCTCTACAGTTTCAACTCAAGTTCGCACCTGTTAACCAAGTAGAGCAATCTAACGCCATAATAAATCCTAGTTCGGACACCTTTTGGAACACAACAAAGATCATTTCAAAACTCATATCCACCCCTGTTTATCTAAAAAATTTACACGTCTGATCTTGTATCCACCATGTACCAAATGTCCGATTCATCGCAACATGATCTGGATACACTTAAACAAACACACAGCTAAATCAGGAGGCTCTACAGCTTCATTTCAAGTGCATTATTTTGAGGGTCAACTGGTCAAGTATGTCTAAAAGCAAAAACTGAAATGACAAGATACTACTTGAGAATCTGGTTGCAAAAGTCCTCCCAGTCCGCTTCTTTGAAGAGAGGATCACAGGGTCTTCATAATCTGGGTTCGTCCCATTGGGCTTTTTGTATATGCGAGTGAGATCTAGATACTCTCATATCTTATCCAGCAACTCATCAAGGTTCCATTCCAGTGGAGCACTGTCCAGCACAACAAGCAAGAGAGAAAACACCACCAGATTACTTATTTGTGAAATACAACTGTGAAATGGCAGACCCTCAGAGGATGAAAGCAAACAAATTCCAATACACAACTTCAGACATATATCCATAATATTTGCACTCAAATTCCAATCCAAAATATAAGGAAAGACTAAGACTAGATCAATTGAACTGTGATCAAAGTCATACCTTCTTCCTAACACAAGCTTCCTTTGAAAGCTGATAACTATCCCATCAGATGACTGAAGTCCAAAATGGGTAACCAAAAGCATTGCTTCTTCTTGACAAGAGCAGAATGCTAGAGTTCCATTCAATGGCTTTGGCGCAAAAAGGTAGTTGTTACTAAACAAGCGAGCTAAGATAATTCCTATCTCCAAACAATAACCACAAATAGCTTTCAAACATGGATCATCATCTACTCCCATGCTTAGTGTAGACCGAAACATACAAGGAGCTCATTTATGCAGCAAACAGAGAAAACCAGCAATATGCAGAGCCCTTAAATAAAGTTCTTCCTGACATACCAGGAAGTAGGGAAACACATATGTAAGCAGTGGCAAGGATCATGCCTCGGAGATTTAGTTCCAGCCACTTTTCTATCATCAGAATCTTCTCGAAACCGAGGGATATCGATCAGCTACAGGATCATGCACCTGGAATTTGGATGGGAATTTCAGCAAGTTCCTTGAGTTGCAGCAGCTGATAGATCAGTAGACCCTATTTTATGAGTTTTAATATCAGGACCATTCAACAGCTTCTGGAAAATTGGGTGATCCAACTGATTCTTGGGAAACAATTCTATTAGCAAAGACATCGTGGTTGCATCGGCTGAGAAACCTTTAGAAACCATCTCATGAATGAGGCCTATTGCTTCAAGGGGATCCTTATGGCGAAGAAACCCATGAATAATCACGTTGTAAGAGCAACTATCTGGTAGACAACTATCCCCCTCCATTTTCCTGAACAAATCATATGCTTCATCCACAAAACCTTGTCTGCAAAGTCCATCAATTGCTATGGTATATGTGCGGCTATCAGGTTGCAAACAATTGTTTTGGGAGAGCCTAGAAAACAGCTCCCTTGCTTCCTTTTCCCTCCCTGCTTTCCACAACCCATCCATAAGGATATTGTACCCTGCAACATTAGACTTCAAACTACTATTTTCTATTACTTCAAATAGAGCTAATGCACCGTCAAGTTTACCTTGTCTACACAAGTAATCAAGCAAGCTATTGTAGGTCACATTATCCGGGGAACAACCCTGACCACTCATTTTATTGAGAATTTTTCGTGCATCTTTAAGCCTCCCTGCTTGACAAAATCCATTTAGCATAGTAGTATACGTGACTGTATCTGGAGCCAAATCCTTCTCAAGCATATCATTAAGTAGTTCTTCAGCTTCATCCATCCTTCCATTGTTACAATATCCGTGAATCAT